TGTCTATAGTCCCCAGCTGCTCCATCTCTCCACATCATCGTCTCTGCCTCCATCTCAGGCATCACTGCTTCTCTGGGTAGGATCCCGCTCTATAAACAGTTATCTTTGTGAGCTCAATTGACAGCTGCAATAGAATGAGAAGCTTAGGGGGCAGCCAGTACAAGATGATGGTAATGGAACAGTATGGGAACATGAGAAAATGAGAATGGTAGTACACTTCAAGAATATAATCAGTGTCACTGAACTTTCCATGTAGATATGGTTGAAATGGTATATCTTTGTCTGTGTATACTTTTACCAAAATCAAAGCAAATGAAATTACCAGAAAAAGCAGAATGTTGTCAATTTAGACCACTTGAATGCATACATAGATTAAAGTTGTACGTTAGAAATGTTTTGTGAATAGCAAGGTCAAAGGAGATAAGAGTTTTTGTGAGGTCACCAATTCTAGCGAATGTGGAAAACATAGAAAAGATTTAACACTGAACTGATTCCTCTACACCTTCTAAGTATAGTCCAGACAGTCCGTCTTGCCAGAGAATCCAGCTGTTCGTTATGCTTTTTCTCTGAGCTTTCCTTTTCTAAACCAGACTAGTTAGTTTCTCTCTCTCTAGTCCTGCATCACAGCTGTACTCCTAGGGCTCCCTGCAAACTGATCCTGGGAATTCCCATTAACTTGTTCCTCTATTGATTCTATTTCCTGGACTCTTTGCCTCCATCTTGGTTTACTCCCTCTTTTGTTTCCCCCCCACCCCCCACCCAATGATAAAATTTTATTTACAAAGTTTCTTTGCTGTACAAAAAATAAAAATGCTACAGTAATCTCAGTTTTATTATTAACCACGAATAGTTAAGATTCACTAATCACTTTTATCCATGCTATAGTAAGAGTCTTACACAAAAACATAACGCTTACAATTTTGTTGGCTTGAAGTCCCTAAACTTGGTGGTGGATTTCCAAGAGCGACTAAATAGAGGAAAGCGGAATGTCCCAGGAACTATTCTTAGGCTCTTTGAGTAGGCTGCTGTCCTGAGATTTATATCACAATATCTTTTTTTATTGAAGAAACAAAATGAAACAGCTACCAAATCCATATGAGCAGTCCAACTAACACAGAACAGTTCTTTTTTTGTAGGTAATTTGGGGTCTTAATCATCATCTCCTTTGTCATATGTTTCTCTCTTTTTTACCTTTCCTGCTTTCTTCTTCCTTTTCTTCTTCATCCTCATCTTCTCCACCCTCCTACCTGACTTCCTCTTCGACTTCTCCCCATTCTACATCTTTGTTTTCATCTTCATCCTTGTCATCAAAATCTTTCTCCTCGCCACCCTCCTCTTCCTCCTCAGTTTTTCCTTCTTCCTCTTCTTCAGGCACACTGTTCACCTCAGCATTTGAGTCAGGGGCCTCCTGGTCCTCTTGGTTGTAGCCATACAGGTAGGTCAGCTGGGGCAGGAGCTTGAAGACTCTCTTGGTGATCATTCAAGTTAGAAGCCTCATGTTGTTGTTAGGTGCCATCGAGTCGGTACTGACTCATAGCGAGCAACCTTTTGCACAGCAGAATGAAACACTGCCTGATCCTGGGCCAACTTCACTATTGTTGCCATGCTTGAGCCCATTGATGCTGCCACTTTGCCAATCTATCTCGCTGGGGGTCTTCCTCTTTTTCTCTGATCCTCCACCCTACCAAACATGATACCCTTCTCCAGCGACTGGTCTAGTTAAATAGACCTAGGCTCTGCAGACAATCTAATTTTCCCAAAGGTTCCAAGGTGCTGATATTTTTTTTTTGTTTATTTCCACTTATGTTTAGATGTGTGAGGTTTGGAAGTTTTCCCGCTAATGTGTCCAGACCTCCAAAGATTCTGTTGTCACTGAGCTCAAGCGTTTTCCATTTCAGTAGTTTGGGGAGATTTTAAATGTAAAGCAAGCCCACATTTATTAAACAGAGGAGCTCTTAAGTTCACAGCTGTAGCTGTTAAACCCTCAATTTTTCCATCATTTGAGTTACAATTGTCTAGCACAAGTTCTTGAACAGCAGCTGGGGCCAGGTTCCTCAGCTTTACTCCCTCATTTTGGAGAAACATTTTTTAGTAATTTCTTGAGAAATGGGATACATGAGATGAGCTTTTGATTCATTATTGTTAAATGCTGTTGAGTTGGTTCCAATTCATAGTGGCACCAACTGTTTAGAATTTCTAAGAAGTGGCTGGTGGGTTTGAACACCTGACCTTGCAGTTAGTAGTCCAGTACTT